CATTTCATTTTACGTTCCTTCCCTTCTTTCTTCCCTTTCCTTTCTCCTAGCCTTATCTTCCCCTCAGTTCCAATTCATTGCACATTTTCATCTTCCAACCTCCTTCATTAATTCTATTTCTTTTGGTATCTTTTTCCCATTCTTCTCGTGTCTTACATAGTTACATAGTATTTGAGGTTGAATAAAGACATAAGTCCATCAAGTCCAACCTATTGCTGATGTATATAGGTCCATGTATCATCTCATTTTTAGGAGTACTTGTACCCCTGTATATTTCCTGTCCCCCTGTATATTACCTGTACCCTGTATATTACCTGTACCCCTGTATATTACCTGTACCCCTGTATATTACGGTCCCTCAGGAAATCGTCCAAAAGTTTCTTGAACAATTCCACACTCTTAGCTGAAATCACGGCCTCTGGCAGCGAGTTCCAGGCCCTGACCGCTCTCACTGAGAAGAACCCCCTTCTCCCCTTGTGCTGGAATTTTTTCCTCACCAATTTTAGGTGGTGTTCTCTAGTCTTTGTTACGGAGTTAATCTTAAAGAGTTTGTTGCTAATGTTGCCGTCACCATTGAACATCTTGTACATGAAAATCATGTCCCCCCTTAATCTCCTTACTTCCTCTCACATTCTCCTATGTTGCACCCACAGGTATGTCTGTAAGTCTGGAGAACTTCCCTGACTGTTGGTTAAATGGCAAGCCTCATAGTCAGCCCTCACCTAGGCCCTCTAGGCAAAATAAGGAGTGCACAGCATTTGCAGCCCGTGAACTGTCTGAAAGAAGAATGAGTGACCAGCCCCCGCGGAACTTCGTAGGCAAACTCCACTGTCCAGCTCCTCCCAAAGCAACAGCCTCCAAGAATGGGTTTCTGGCTCTGCCCACCATGCATAACCCCGGTCAGTGCTTCAGCAGCAATAAGAAAGATAAATTTCCATCTACCTCAGCCCTGGATACAGCAGAGATCCTGATCGTTCCTCCGCTCGTACCAAATTGTACATCTCCAGGAAACAGATGCAAGATGACAGACAGTGAACTGCAAAGAAAGATCAGAGAGGTGAGGACACCAAGTGGCCTGCATGTTACTTAAGAACTTGTCCAAACATTTTGGGTGGACTGGGATAGACAATTCGGGTGGGGGAGGTGAAGTTTCATTAGTTTGCAGTCCTGGGGGCCTGGTGGCAACCACTCTTCCGTCTCATATGAGACCCCTCTGCCACCCCTTGTCTCACATGATTTCTTATAGTCTTCTGTTTGGCACATAAAGTGACAGAAGGAGCTCAGAACCAGGAAACTCTATGCGGGGGACCCTGAAGTGGCAGAGTGCAGTAAAGAGGACAGGTAATTGAAGCAGATGGGCACCCCTGCATCTCTTCATCCAATCTAGTAAATAGACCTTCAAGGACCGTGGCTCCCTTTTTAGATGCAATGTCATCCTTTCCATCTCCCTCATCTCGATGACTGGGTGTCTTGATGATCCTCTGACTTCACTACATTGTGAATAGTGATAGCAGAATGTTCTACCAAAGCAAGGATTTTCCCCACATTGGGCTTATCTGTGGTTGTTCTTCATCTTGATGCTGACACATTCATAAATAATCTGTCCAATGACATGTGTCACAAGGTGGAGTCAGCAGATGAGCAGTAAAGTGAATTCGCTCCTCGCCGCTTCTCAGCCACTGACCCAGAAAAGTAGCCTTCACGTTCCCTTTGTGACGGGGACACTGCGCACCATTGAAATCCTAGCCAATGTTTCTCTGGTTGTGCGGACATATATAACGTCTATGATCTACTTTCCTGCAGGTGGAAGAACGGGTCCATGGCGTCACCCCAGAAAAGTGCCAGGAAGCGCTACGTTTCTACGGAGGGGATGTGCCCCGGGCTGTCCAGCACGTAAAGGTGATGGTTGCCTAATAAACAAACGGCTCATATCAGAGATTACTGTACATATGGGAAGTGTTGACAAGTGTCCCATCTTCACCTTGCCACTCGACACACAGTTGTATAATGAGAATTTCATGGAGCGCTAAACCATTTTTGGATTAGGCAGGTAAATTGTAGCCAGCATGCCGGCACCATAGCATAGAAATCATGGAGGTGGATGAGCTACGCTCCACACCATGCTCAGCGTCACCTAAATGTTAGTACAATATCACATCCATTTTTTAATAGACCCCCATTTTAGGCAACTGGAGATCGGCACCGTCCAGAGCAGGTGGAGTTTGAGGGTTTGAGTACAATCTTGAGAGATGTTCCCCGGTGGACATTGAGGACCTCCTTTGGAAAATAGTAGTTCCCTGGCTGGCTATAACACTTCCAGCGTCACTGACCTAGAACAAGCATTGAGGTCAAGTAAGCCAAATCCCCTCACCAGTATACTTGGTCCAGGTCAGTGACTCAGTCAGCACTGAAGTCAATAGATCGGCATAATGGCCAGGACAATGAGAGGTTAGATAAGGAAGTTATACCAGATTGGAGCTGGAGATCCATCCAAGATCATTTGGCAGCTTAGGGCTCCGAATGTGTACACAGCCCTAGAAGAACCTTAAATAAAGTCCACAGATGAGTTAAAACTAACACGGTCAATCCTGTATGAGCTTTGATTGAAACTCAGTCATTTCCCAATTTAGGAGTCTTCTCTGTGCTTCATGAATTGACTTCTTCTCCCTCTTCAGGTGGTCCATCTGTACAACATGAGCCGGTACACTAAGGAGCACTGCCGCCGAATCTTGGAGCAGTACAACTGGAACCTGGAAGCTGCATCCAACTATATCCTGCAACATAGGAACCCCCGCTAATGGGACTGACTAAAGGTTCTTAGCTCCATGGACAGCAACTCGGAATTCCTGCCTGCCCAGAATGGTGCCAGGGGACATGGCTCTACTTACCTAGAGTGGTGCCAGGGGACATGGCTCTACTTACCTAGAATGGTGCCAGGGGACATGGCTCTACTTACCTAGAATGGTGCCAGGGGACATGGCTCTACTTACCTAGAATTGTGCCAGGGGACATGGCTCTACTTACCTAGAATGGTGCCAGGGGACATGGCTCTACTTACCTAGAGTGGTGCCAGGGGACACGGCTCTACTTACCTAGAATGGTGCCAGGGGACATGGCTCTACTTAGGATGGCGCCAGGGGACATGGCTCTACTTACCTAGGATGGTGCCAGGGGACATGGCTCTACTTACCAAGAATGGGGCCAGGGGACATGGCTCTACTTACCTAGAATGGTGCCAGGGGACATGGCTCTACTTACCTAGAGTGGTGCCAGGGGACACGGCTCTACTTACCTAGAATGGTGCCAGGGGACATGGCTCTACTTAGGATGGCGCCAGGGGACATGGCTCTACTTACCTAGGATGGTGCCGGGGGACATGGCTCTACTTACCTAGAATGGTGCCGGGGGACATGGCTCTACTTACCTAGAATGGTGCCGGGGGACATGGCTCTACTTACCTAGAATGGTGCCGGGGGACATGGCTCTACTTACCTAGAATGGTGCCGGGGGACATGGCTCTACTTACCTAGAATGGTGCCGGGGGACATGGCTCTACTTACCTAGAATGGTGCCGGGGGACATGGCTCTACTTACCTAGAATGGTGCCGGGGGACATGGCTCTACTTACCTAGAATGGTGCCGGGGGACATGGCTCTACTTACCTAGAATGGTGCCGGGGGACATGGCTCTACTTACCTAGAATGGTGCCGGGGGACATGGCTCTACTTACCTAGAATGGTGCCGGGGGACATGGCTCTACTTACCTAGAATGGTGCCGGGGGACATGGCTCTACTTACCTAGAATGGTGCCGGGGGACATGGCTCTACTTACCTAGAATGGTGCCGGGGGACATGGCTCTACTTACCTAGAATGGTGCCGGGGGACATGGCTCTACTTACCTAGAATGGTGCCGGGGGACATGGCTCTACTTACCTAGAATGGTGCCGGGGGACATGGCTCTACTTACCTAGAATGGTGCCGGGGGACATGGCTCTACTTACCTAGAATGGTGCCGGGGGACATGGCTCTACTTACCTAGAATGGTGCCGGGGGACATGGCTCTACTTACCTAGAATGGTGCCGGGGGACATGGCTCTACTTACCTAGAATGGTGCCGGGGGACATGGCTCTACTTACCTAGAATGGTGCCGGGGGACATGGCTCTACTTACCTAGAATGGTGCCGGGGGACATGGCTCTACTTACCTAGAATGGTGCCGGGGGACATGGCTCTACTTACCTAGAATGGTGCCGGGGGACATGGCTCTACTTACCTAGAATGGTGCCGGGGGACATGGCTCTACTTACCTAGAATGGTGCCGGGGGACATGGCTCTACTTACCTAGAATGGTGCCGGGGGACATGGCTCTACTTACCTAGAATGGTGCCGGGGGACATGGCTCTACTTACCTAGAATGGTGCCGGGGGACATGGCTCTACTTACCTAGAATGGTGCCGGGGGACATGGCTCTACTTACCTAGAATGGTGCCGGGGGACATGGCTCTACTTACCTAGAATGGTGCCGGGGGACATGGCTCTACTTACCTAGAATGGTGCCGGGGGACATGGCTCTACTTACCTAGAATGGTGCCGGGGGACATGGCTCTACTTACCTAGAATGGTGCCGGGGGACATGGCTCTACTTACCTAGAATGGTGCCGGGGGACATGGCTCTACTTACCTAGAATGGTGCCGGGGGACATGGCTCTACTTACCTAGAATGGTGCCGGGGGACATGGCTCTACTTACCTAGAATGGTGCCGGGGGACATGGCTCTACTTACCTAGAATGGTGCCGGGGGACATGGCTCTACTTACCTAGAATGGTGCCGGGGGACATGGCTCTACTTACCTAGAATGGTGCCGGGGGACATGGCTCTACTTACCTAGAATGGTGCCGGGGGACATGGCTCTACTTACCTAGAATGGTGCCGGGGGACATGGCTCTACTTACCTAGAATGGTGCCGGGGGACATGGCTCTACTTACCTAGAATGGTGCCGGGGGACATGGCTCTACTTACCTAGAATGGTGCCGGGGGACATGGCTCTACTTACCTAGAATGGTGCCGGGGGACATGGCTCTACTTACCTAGAATGGTGCCGGGGGACATGGCTCTACTTACCTAGAATGGTGCCGGGGGACATGGCTCTACTTACCTAGAATGGTGCCGGGGGACATGGCTCTACTTACCTAGAATGGTGCCGGGGGACATGGCTCTACTTACCTAGAATGGTGCCGGGGGACATGGCTCTACTTACCTAGAATGGTGCCGGGGGACATGGCTCTACTTACCTAGAATGGTGCCAGGGGACATGGCTCTACTTACCTAGAGTGGTGGCAGGGGACATGGCTCTACTTACCTAGAATGGTGCCAGAGGACATGGCTCTACTTACCTAGAATGGGGCCAGGGAATATGGCTCTACTTACCTACAACGGGGCCAGGGAACATGGCTCTACTTACCTAGAATGGTGCCGGGGGACATGGCTCTACTTACCTAGAATGGTGCCAGTGAACATGGCTCTACTTACCTAGAATGTTGCCAGGGGACACGCCAGGGCCTCTATGAACTGGGATTTACCATCAGTGGGGAACTTTGTACACTATGCTAAATGTTTTGCCTCTACTTCATGAAGGAGATGTCCAATTCCAGAAGAACCGGACTGTGGTTTTTATAATAGGATCACATTTATTGGTGGAGGTCTTCCATTAGGATATAACTGTGCATCATCAGTGGTCAGGTACTGCAGCAGGTTATCCTATCATGGATTGTTTCAATGCAAAGAATAACCGCCACTGATATCTTGTTGTTGGTGTAACCCTGGGCACCATCTTGTGGTTGGTGTAACATTGGGCACCATCCTGGAGTTGATGTAACATTGGGCCCCATCCTGGGGTTGATGTAACATTGGGCGCCATCTTGTGGTTGGTGTAACATTGGGCACCATCCTGGAGTTGATGTAACATTGGGCCCCATCCTGGGGTTGATGTAACATTGGGCGCCATCTTGTGGTTGGTGTAACATTGGACGCCATCTTGCGGTTGGTGTAACAATGGGCACCATCCCGGGGTTGGTGTAACAATGGGCGCCATCTTGTGGTTGGTGTAACAATGGGCGCCATCTTGTGGTTGGTGTAACAATGGGCGCCATCTTGTGGTTGGTGTAACACTGGGCGCCATCTTGTGGTTGGTGTAACACTGGGCGCCATCTTGTGGTTGGTGTACCATTGGGCACCATCCTGAGTTTGGTGTTCAGGGTGAAATCCACATGTGACGTGTAATGTGTTCATAGGGCCCCCGAATAATGGCCTGTAAATGAAGCAGCCATGTTGCGTGTGTATTTGTTGACCTTCACGTGTTGTTGTGAACACCCAAAAGATAGCTTCATGAGAGAAGCCGGTAGGTTGTCATAACAGACTTGCTGAGATTGCTGGCTGTCTGACCGTCATGCTAATCCCCCGGGATCGTCACTTCCAGGGAACATGCATGTAAATTAGGAGCTCTGAGTTCTCCGGTGGCTGCATGTTGTATGGAAGTGATTCAAAGTATTGAAGTCGGGGGATAAGCATGACGTCAGAAGGAGAAGTCTGGGGTGGCTCTGAGGACAAATACTTTGAGCAAGACACAAGGTTTTGTTTTTTATTTCTCTAAGGACAGAAAATATTAAATGTACATTATGCTCACACCTCACACGTGTCACGACTCGTTCTTGGGAGGGAACTCGTCTCGGCCTGATGAGAAATGGCGGAGGGGGCGGGGCCTGAGTGCACAGTGCCAATCTTTGTATCCATCTCAGTCATCACGGGTAGTCAGAGCCCAACAAAACAAGGCCCGGACTCTGCAACATCCATGCCTGGGCACTGCCGTTGTGACAGGGAGACGGGACCGGATTTACCCTCCCTGCCGCCCCAAGGCCGGATTCGCCAATGGGCACCACAGGGGCCGCACTGGATGCCACCAGAGAGTCCCACTAGCCTCCTGAGAGCCCACACAGATACTAGTATTGGTGCATCCCTAAATTTTACGGTTGGGGGGTCACCACAACTTGGCAAATGTTACCAAGGGGTCCCGGCCCCTAGAAAGATTGAGACCCGCTGGGCTATTTATTCACGTACTTGTTGCAAATGCAAAACACAAGATACAACGTTTCGGGGGGTCTCACCGGATCCCCTTCATCAGGCAAACAAGTGAGACCCCGAAACGTTGTATCTTGTGTTTTGCATTTGCAACAAGTACGTAGACACACACCATACACACACACCACACACACACACCATACACACCATACACACCACATACACCATACACACACACAGACACACACACACCATACACACCATACACACCATACACACCACACACACCATACACACACACAGACACACACACACACCATACACACACACTCATTGCCCGATGACACATTACTAATCATTGCAGTGATTATATTATTATTATAGAGCGCCAACAGTGAGCGCGGCGCTGTACAATATAAGGAAGACATTACAGTTACAATACAAGATGGTGAGGAGAGGCCCCGCCCCTGAGGGGCTTACAATATAAAGAGGGAGTTGTCTTCCCTCACTGCTCCCCCTGCACTCCCTAATCTACCATCACCCCCACATCTCCCCCTCCCCCCCGGCATTATATTATATGAAGCATCTTTATGAATAATTACAAGTATTTTTTTTATATACCGTATTTTTCGCTCCATAAGACGCACTTTTTTTCCCCCAAAAGGAGGCGGGAAATGTGCCTGCGTCTTATGGAGCGAATACCTATCGCCCGACGCCCGGG